ACCATATGCACAACGTCATTATCATTATGGACATTAACAACAACAACAACAGCAACAAAAACAGTATCAACTATTGCAAAAAAAGCATCAACAATTTTTATAAAAGTATAGGCACACGAAAGAGAGGACGACCATGAGTTGATTTATTCACCTGTATCGTCTTATACCCTTCCACAGCAGTTGTCCCGTAACGCTTGCTTCTTCCTGTAGACGGTATACATCTACCATGCCAGTCTCATCACTCATCATGTCCTTACTCTCTTCTGCGCTGCCCTTGTTTTCAACGCCGTGATCATCATCATTACCATCAAGATCGCCTTCTTTACTGGCGTTGTTTTTCGGGGATGAGCACATCTGTATTTTCTTGGATGCTACGGAAACAGGTTTTTGTTTAAATTTATTTTTTTAGAGGGGGGGGGGTGTACTGGCAGTGTATATTATTATAAAATAAAATTGTAGTCGAAGGATGTTTTACCCCTCCATAGACACAATTCATGTTGCCCAGGACAGGTAATACAGACACAAATTAGAGCAGTAAGGTGACAGGCTGTTTTTACCCTTCCCGTCTTTTGCGTGCGATAGCGAAGCACCTAACCAAAATTTCACAGTTGCCGGGTATAAACACCGTAATCGCCATAATATTTATTGCTAAGCCAACGGTGTTGCCTGCTAAGATCAAGGTCAACTTCGGACTGATATCTTAAAGAGTAAAAAGAGGTGAACGTAAAATAATATATCTAGATCTAACCACAAAATCAAAAGGACAGAGAGTACACGAAGCTAAAAATTCCGTCTAAAAGTAAATTTTGATCCCCCATTCTAAAAATTAGTTAAATCCATCTTTCGTGGTGAGTGGCTGGTGGGTGCTCTGGTGTAAAGGCCTCATTCTTTCCCAATGTACCGTCCTTGTCTCTCTTATTTTTTTTTGGGTGTGTTACTCTCTTGTAACACCTCTAATCCTCTGCACCTTTTTACTCGGTTGTGTTGCAAGTGCCGTTAAACTCTTAACAAAAACACATAATGTAACAGAGACCCAAGTGTGGCTCCACTCGGGGTGGGGACTTCTGGTGTGCATAGTAGTTCCAGTAAGTTCCAAATGGAGTATTGAGGACTTGACTACTACCTGTTAATAGTTAATTTCACTATTTTTTAAATCGGATTGCTTGGTTCAAGGGAAGTAAGAGATAATTTCGAACCCCCTTAAAATCCGTGGTTATTCCCTCTTGCGCCGTATCATTGGGTCTTTTGAGAACCTTGACGTTTATTTATCAAAATAATGTTGGCTGCAACTATTTTACCTTCTCAAAAATGCTAAAAAGGTAATGATTTATACTGTTGTCTAATGATCATTGTATGGAGAACACATGTAGGATCGAACCTGCTTTAACGGACACCTGTAGAAGACAATCACATGTATAAACGACCACTTCGCATTTCCTCCTTTGTTACTTTTTATAAATTGTTATTGTAATGACACTGTGTATTACAGTCCACCTGTCTATTTAGGTCACTTTTCTCAATGATAATGCGTTGCCGTCTTAGGCAGTTTCTACTGTATTTCCAAAGCAAAGTTGAAGAAATATGGAATAAGATAGCGTGTGACTTCTGCTATGGCCAAGCTGATCAATCCTTACAGAGAAGAGTTTGCTTCATTTTGGGCATTGAAAACCTTTATTTCTAAGACTTTTGGATGTTCATAGCTTGATGGCTTCCTTTTGGTTTCACCATTTATTATCATTCGCACGTGAAGCCTCATAATTATTATTTCTGCCTTCTGGGACTGCTGCTCCCAAATTTATTACAGCTTTATACCCGCTAAAAATTACCCCCCAACTCCTTCCCTTTCTCCTAATTCTTAAAATGAGTTACATTTTTAACAAAAAGTGACGGCGATCCCAAAGAAGCCTGGTGGAGAGTGGACACTCTGTGTGTGCGTATTAAGCTATTTATGATCTACAAATGATGGCTAAAGTTTAATAATTTTTAAAAAACAATAATAATATATAACATTTATATAGCGCATTTCCAAAAAAGTAGCTCAATGCGCTTTACATTGGAATACCCATTTTTCAAAAACCTTTCTTACTACTTCCTTTCTTCTTATGCAATATACATTAATGCACACACACACACACACACACACACACACACACACACACACACACACACACACACACACACACACACACACACACAGAGAGAGAGAGAGAGAGAGAGAGAGAGTAGAGAGAGAGAGAGAGAGAGAGAGAGAGAGAGAGAGAGAGAGACTATTTTCATCCAGACATAGGAACAGAACAACTATAATGAAAAATAAAGTTAAAAGCTTATGAAGGATAGGCCTGTAGGAACAGAAAATGTTTAAGATGTCTTTTGAAGCTATCAAGTGTTTTTATTTGTCTTAGTTTCATGGGTAATCTGTTCCACATAAATGGACCAAGATATGAGAAAGATCTCTCTCCATATGATTTGTATGATTTTACAGGTGTCACAAGTAGGGTGTTATCGTTTGATGGTCTTAGGTTTCTCCCTGGCTTATAAATACTGATAAGTTCTTGTAAATAAATAGGAGCAGTTTTATTTACACATTTGAAACACATGACGCAGATTTTAAATATCACTCTTTTTTTTACAGGGAGCCAATGCAGTTCTTTTAATAATGGAGTGACATGGTCTCGTTTTTTAGATCTTGTCCCAGACGGGAAAAATAGAAAGGTAAACTAAGAGCAAGTAGCCGCATAATACTGAAGAACCCATTTCTCCGGAAAATCTAGCCGCAATCTCATGTGTACCAAAGATACCATGACTGTTTACTCTTATTATTTAGCAAGAAATGGCACAAATAATAGCAATTTTTTACGCCGTCGTCTGTATCATTTAGATCTTTAACGGTGCAGAACAGAAAGGGAGATACAAGTGAAAATAGAGATGGAGATGGAGATCGAGACGGCAAAAGAGGCTGGTAGACTTACATGCACGCCAGATAGTCAAAAATCATATAAAATGGTTAAGACCTACAAGAACGGAATGACAGAAGCAAAGAGGAAAAAAACACCCAGAAAACACACTAAAAGCGCCCCGCAGGTCGAAATAGGATAAAATGTAAGAGAGAAAATACAAAGAAGACACAGTAAAAGACAGACATTATTTTAAAAAAGGGAAACAATTTAATTACCCTCCTCTTTAGGCTGGCATCGCTCCACAGTTCCTTCCCTTCCTCTGTCCTTTAGTGTGTCTGCAGCATTCTGCTGGTCTGCACCACTGTTGCCATCTTCTACAGTCCCTGCAGAACCTTGATCCTCACTCTTCGTTTCCTTTCTTTCCGCTACATCTGACTGTTTGGTCTCCGTGTACCCCACATCGTTGTGAAATGTTGGCTCAGGAATATTTTGGGAACAGATCGTTACACAATTTATCAAGTCCTCAGATGAATCCGACTTTTCCCGCCTCATTGACGACCCTGTTAAACACTTCAGTTTAGCAGAGTTCCCCCCTCCTGCTCCTGTCGTTTTGCTGAATTTCCCACCGTTCGCCTTGTACACCTCGTAGAAATGCGCTATGGGAGATATGGCAGTGTATCTCGCCGACTCTGGAGTTTTAATGGGTGATAATTTCTCCCTATCCTCGTGATCATTCCGGTCCTCATCAGCATCATCATCATCGTCATCGTTGTGACTTAAGTCTCTTCCTGAACACGGAGGCAAGAAGTTCTGGTCACTCTGGGTGAAGGGAAGAGTCGAACTGTGTCGACGGGAGAAGACATAATTGGGGTCTCTCGAGCAGCCCGCCTTAGTGGAAGGGTCTTGGAGACCTTCTGAAGTACTGCTCGAGCGAGGAACGCAGTACGGGTGGGATGACGGGTGGGAAATACGTTGTTGAAGAGTGGATGCCGGTCTGGTGGCAGACGGAGGAGGGCTGTGGGATACAGTCTTCTGTCTCCGGAGCCCGCTTCTGATCAGAGACCGAATGCGGTCTTTAAAGGTTCCACTCATTTCTGGAGAGAATAAATATCAGCAGCTCTGTTGAGTTGAGTTGAGTTGAGGACATAGGATAATTATGGTCGTTCAGCTCTTGGTAAAAGCAAGCAATATTAAACTACGGTAAGAAGACTAAAGAAGTAAAGCCTTTTTAGAAACAATTAATGTAGGCATTTTAACCCCCCTATTCACATAATTTGGATAATCTAGAAGGTAGGCTTCCGAGCTAACCAAGATATAAATAACATCCCAGCAGAAAGACTGAGATGCACGATAATGATTATTATGTATCTTCTCTCTGGAACTGACCTTCGGTCTCCTGCGTGCGACAGCGTTGCGCCAAACCATCACCCCGCAGAGTCCGATAAGAAGTAGGACCTAATAGAGGCAACTTCTAGACATCCGCTAACAGATTTGTGGTCGCATAAGGAATAACTTTGGTTAAAGAGAAGCAAACGGGTATCTGTTGTGTAGCAGATAGGCACTTTGCCGTCGCACATAGGAGACCTGAGCTCGATTCCCACGTGTAGAGAATTGTTGTTGAGTATCTCAGTCTTTCTGCTAGGGTGTGGTATTCCCTTCAGTTCAACACGGATTGGCCTTGACAGGCAGGATCGAAGCTGGCTTCTTAGCTCATCTAAAGTGTATCGATGGGGCCGTAAAATCACCTTTAAGTATAGAAAAGCACAGCGACATCCCCTATCTCAAAACCAAGTATCTCTCTCCGTGTCTCTCTCACTATCTCTCCATGTCTCTCCCTGTCTACCGGCTTCCGTCTGTGTTTGCCTTCCCCTGTTTCCATTTCTTTCACCCAGCCTATTCAGGCCTCGCCCTCACAAACTCAGAAGTATATGAACAAGATAGCGGCCATAGTATAACACAGGGGAAAACTAAGACAATAATATAAAAGGAACAGACAACAGTAATACCTACCGAACCAGTAGCAGGTAGTGCCTTCTGACTTTTACTTCAATGGGGATAGAATGCTGAAAATCAAAGAGTAAAACCTAAATTTTACTTTCAGGGCCTCTTCAATGTATCTTAGCTTGTAAAAAGAATTGTCTCCAAACACCAGAATACCAGTTATCACATTTCGTTCGTTTCAACCACAATTTGAGACAAAATTGTCCTACGTTCTATCATTGTGCTGGGCCACTGAAAGTCGACCGTATAGATGCAACCAACTTTCCTAGCCCGCCATTTTCATGAATTCTATTGCCTGCTTGGATCAATGTCTAAGCCTACGTCATATTATTTTACCTCTGTCGGTTCCGGGAAAATCCGGAGAAAATCAAAGTAGATCTATACGTGTGCAAATTTTAAAATATTTAAAAAGTGTGATTTGTCTCTCGTTGATTTATAATGCTATGGCCAAAGATGTTAGATCTATAACCTCTTTTATTTGAACAATAACACATTATGGTGAAATAATCAAAATATAGCAATTAAATTAGATCATCCTTTGCATGTCTGTCCGTGTTCATCTTTTTCTTCGTTTGTCTGTTCCTATATTCCCCTCAAAGGTTTGGTTGGTAAGTTTAAACTGCTATTTAGGGACACTTCTTTTGGTAAATCAGCTATTCTGAAGGCTATCCCTTCCAAGGAGTTCCACCAGAGGGTGCTATGTTATCAGATACAAGGTGTTTTCTGCTTTGCTTTTGTTAATTTCTCCCTCAATTTCACAATGCTTAAATTTTGTAAACCTTTGATCACTTTTCATACCCTCTCCCCAAAACCCTGAAACTTCAGAGTCGGTCTTTGTGTGAAGCACATGCGGTTCTTTAGGTTCTCAATAGATTTGTTAGGTTAGACATACTGGCCGTAATAACAATAATAATAATAATAATAATAATAATAATAATAATAACCGAATGAAAAAATTTGAAAGTTTGCCAGTACCCATAACTTGAAACGTAGTGCTGCACTTTTGTATTTTCATTAAGATCAAATGTGTAAGAAGAAAGTCCATTTGAAGTTAAATTCAGTCCTTTTGTAGCGATTGCCATCATTTGCTTCGACATTGTAT